GCGCTAAATGTATAAATTTTGATAAGCTTATAATGCAGAATTTTTAATAAAAACGTTTTCTAATATTTTTTTAGTATTTGTCGTTATTGCCGGATTTATTTCTACTATCGGCCAGTATTTATCGAATCTTATTGTTTTACCAAAAAATATATCTCGTCTACCAATTACGATGGAATATTTTATCGATCAAGAAAAATACTTTTATTTAATTTTGTTGCACATCTACGCAATTATATGCATCGGAGCAGTTGCGATATTAGCAATAGGAACTATGTTTCTTACGTATCTTCAGTATATCTATGGAATGTTTAGAATTGCTAGGTACGAATGAAGATATAGGAACACTCTAAATTTTTGGGAGTGAAATTTCATTCCAAGAAAAGTGATAGTGACACCAGTCCGGCAAAAGTGATTTTACTTCCTTCAAGGAGTGAATTTCCTAAAAGGTCAACTTTAATGATTATCTCGCTTCGCGAAGCAGAGCGACCCTTTACTTTACCATATTTGTTCGTTTTGTGCAAAAATACATCAAATGAACCTAATTTTGTCAAGACTAGATGTAGGAGGGCTTATTTCATATTTAACTTCAATCTCTTCTTTCGGAGAATGAAATTATTCATTCTTCGCAGAGATTGAAATTTGACTCTTGCTTGGAATAATTTTTCAAAGAGTGATTCTTCACTTTTTAAGAGTGAAAATTTCATTTCTGCTGGACTAGTGTAACTATTACTCTTCGGGAGTAAAATTTCACTTCCAAAAATTTAGAGTAAATAACAATTGAACTGTAATTAAATATATTTAAACAACATAATATATTAAAGTTTGGTAATTATGCAGTATAGAGGAGGCCATCGAGATAGCCTTGATCTTGATTATGTTGTCAATGTCATGATCTTGAAAGATCTTCAGAAGATTTTAGCCGGCGCTCGTTATTTGTTAAAAAGTTAACAATTAAAGTGTAATTCTCATTACTTTGCGTGAAAAATCAGATAACTCTAGAGGAAGGTATGGGACGAACCAATTAAGAAAGTACAACTTTCCACTATACTGCGTAATTAAAAGTTTATGAAAGTTTATGAAGTTTATATATTTTTTGCTGAAAAATCGTGTCATTCAATATATTGTTGTATAATTAGGACACAAACATTTACAGCTATCGTATCGAACATGCAATAAACTTCAATATTCGACAAAATATTACGCAGAAAACTAAAATTCTGATGAGCGAAGGCATAATTTGTGCTGTCGATATTCACCGACGAGCTATGAAGTTGATATAAAATAGGTAGAATAGAGCGGGGCTGGTTGCGCATAGCGGCAAGTTGGGCAAATACAAATATAATATCTACATTGAAAAGAATGTTTGGTTAAAAATGGACATATCAGAAAATTCTGAGAATTTGAAATTGATATAAGATCAGAATTTTCTGGTGTATCCATTTTCAATCACACATTTTTTCAGTATAAATAACAAAAATATACATAGATATGTCTATGATCGTGTAAGGTAACATATAGACAGAGATTACTATGCTTAATACAATAATCCGTGTCCGGCTATCAACAGCCAAACAGATGCGCTTGATATTTTTTATTTAAAAGCATATCCAGCAAACAAGATGGATTGAAATTAATTGAAATGGATTCAGATTTTCAGAAATATTAATTCACGAATGTAAAAATAAATGTTTTTCAATCCTGAATGCATTTTTACAGGAATTATATGGAGCATATCTCTATGCCTTTCAATCTAAAAATAATATTAACTTTTTCTGTTCATTGTGAATATTGTTCAATTCAAAATTTTGAATAGGGAATGCAGTTTTTCAATCCCATGCAGTTTTGCATCCAATCTGGATCCAAATTGGATCTAATCGAATCCAATTAAATCCAAAAAAAGTATTCGCTATTTACAATACGCATTCGGATAGAAAAACATTTCAATCCATTTTAATCCATTCTCGTTTGCTGGGTAGACATTTGTTTTATGGAATTTCTATAAATGAATAAAAATGCATTCAGGAATGAAAAGGATTCATTTTAACATTCATGAATCTGTATTTCTGAAAATCTGAATCCATTTTAATCTATTTCAATCCATTCTCTGAGTGTTCAAGTTGCCATTTTATTTACAGTTTTTCAGTCATAAACAATGTTCCATCAACACCGATGTGGGGCTTGTTGAGCCCAGTATCCCAGAACTTAGTTGGTTATATGAATTTTGTCTTCACCTTTTTTTTTATTCTAAGCTGCGTTCGGAAATTACGCCTAGATAATTCTAGAGCAGGTCCATGGCACTCGATAGTTTTTTCCGCCCCCAGCGGATTTCGGACAATAAGAGTGTCACATTAAACTATAGAAAACCTACTAAGTACCTGCTCTAGGATGTGTATTTTTGCTATAATATACGTAACTTAATCTATAGCTTAGAGATCTGAGAATAATTCCTGAATGCAGTTCTATCTTAATGATTAAATATATATTTTGCGTTCTATTATTATTATAAAGAGTAAAGATTATAGGTTTTTTAATTTTGTTAATTTTAAAGCGTTTAAAAAGAGAGAGTAACAAATTAATATATTTAAGATAAAAATAATAAAAATTTGATTAATATACACATAATCTTTTCATGTTTTTTTAATAATATATAACCTCATTAAATGTTATCTTGGCTCAACTTATCCTTCGAGGATGTTCAACAAGCCCCATAGATGGGACATATTGATCCTCTCTTTGCATCTTTGTAATTGACATATTTTTTTCATATTTACGAGATTATATTAAGAATTTAAAAGTACTTAATTTCTGAGTCAGATGAACATGCAACGTTTTAAAGTATTTACCGTTAGTCTATTGTAATTGTGTGCTAATAAAACTTAAGAGAAAAAGGTTCACAACTAGTCCCGCTCTACACTAATATATATGTTTATTATAATTATATAATAATTATATAATATATTTCTGTTTTTGAAGATTGTCCAAACATTTGATGTCTACAATCGAGGTAACAATATTTTGTTTAATAGCATTTGGTGTAGTTTGCTTAACCCTAAATTTGTTTCAAGTAAGTTTTCTGTTTCGTATTGTAATGTATAAAAATGCATGCAAATGCTGCTCCGAAATTATATATGTAGTAACAATATTGTTCAGTAAATAGGTAGGCCAATAAAATGCCAAAGTTATATAAATCCCCAATAACAAGTTTTATTATATAAATAATATAAAAAGTAACGAATGTAATATATAGTAAAAATAAAAATAATAAACAGAGGAAATGCACTGTATTAGAAAATTCAATAATATTGAAGATATATTACATTAACATAAATTTATTAATAAAGGAAAGCCCCCTATTATGAGATAGGCGCCTAATGTGAGATAGCGGCGTTTCTGCTAAACTAATAGACGTTATCTGTTGGTTCCATCATGAATTTATTGCTCTTGGATTGGAAACTATTTAACAGAAAATTCATTATTAGATCATACCTGTAGTTATTGTTAAAAAAGATTTTAGAATTTGGATGTCTTCAAGTTTTATTGAGATGAGTCTTTAAACGTTGTTTATTATTTAATAAATACATATTTGACAATAAATTCTTTATGTAGTGATGAGTAAGATCATACTAATAGAAAAATACGGGATATATTAAATTACTTAATTATAGAAGTTAGAGATTTGATGATCGTAAAACTATAAGGCGTGGAAATCATAATATGAGATATCCAGAGTATTTCTAATATGAAATAACCCATGTTCCCATATCATAATAAAAATCGTTGCTGAAATATAAATGTTATTATACAATAATAAAAAAGACAACCGAAATGAACTTCGAGTGCCTATTTCTGCGCTGCTTGATTTCAACTATCTGAAGACAAGTTCTGGGTATAATATATCGCATACTCATTTTTCGCGTACCCTGACCGTGTTTGTTTGTAATTAAGAAACATTAAATAAAGTTTTTAGTTACAATACTGATATACTTTGTGTTTTACTAACGATTTCTTGGGGCATCTCATATTAAGAGATCTCATACAATTTTTTGATTTGCTTACTTTTTACATTTCTTTAATTTAAAAAAAAAATGGAATTTAAATTAAATTTTATATAACATTATCTTAAAGCTTATCGAAATCCCTCCAAAATGACCTATTAGTTCTTTAAATTCTGCCAAAAAATTCTCTCTAGCATTTATCCAAAAAAACTCGGTATTTCATAATAGGAGCCTTTTCTCTACTTTTAGAATTTAATGAATAAAAATGCTGTTCTATATATTCTTTGTACGATCTTTGTATTTATATTGTAAGAAACATGTACTTTTTTAATTTACTTTTTTTGATTAATGTATACTGCAAAACATATTTTAAATTTTGCATAAATTCATCGTTATTTTTAGACTAATAGTAAAAAAAATATTCACACATATGCACAGTCGTGGACAGAACGGTTGCAACACTTTTTTCGATGGGTTTCGGAATTCAGTCTTGCTTCTAGCAGGTTAAATGTAAATGGTTAGATCCATAAGTAAAAACCAATTACTCGGTAAGAAAGCTGCATTCTGAAACTCATCGAAAAAAAGTGTTGCAACCGTTATGTCCACGACTGTACACATGTATGCAGAAGATTTATAATCTCCTTTAAATACTGTATCTTAGATATTTCAGATTGCTTCATCCGAAAATACTGTTAGCGAATTTTGTTTGCCATTGTTATATGTGGTTGCTATGATTTTATGTATGTTTATATCCAACTATGTCGGACAGAATATAATTGATCACAATAACTACGTATTCTCTACTGCGTAAGAAACATTTCAGGACGATTATAAGAATATTTGCACGGAAAGAACGGTTTTATTAAAATGCTAGAAAGTTTGCGGGTTATCGCCTCGTTTTTGTCCATTGCAACATTTCGTGAACTTTGCCGTTCACTTCATCAGATCGGGAAGCGCACCGACTGAGCTGCTCCTCCGGGAAACTCCCTTTATTACGCAATAGAGACGGGTGAGGGTATGTTACGAAAGAGAAAGAGAGGTCTTTCCTGGCTTGTCAAGAGCAGTCCCATATCTACTTACATTTTAACCTGAGTCTTTGTTCAAATTGTCTAGTTGTTTCTGTATTTCCCTCTGTACTTTCTCAAGAAATATGACATTGTTGTTGCTATAGTAGCCGTTTTTTGGCATAATATTTAATGTCCTGTTTTAATGTGTTTTGTCAATGCTGATTGTGTGATATGTTTTAGCCTGACATCCCGTTGATGTTCCTTCATGTGCACATTGATCATTCTTCTGATTTCATCGATGTACACTTTCCTGCAAGAGCAAGGTGTACCTCTGCGGAACTGAGTGCGGGTCCTTGGTCTTTAGGATTTTTCAAGATTTGCTCGATGTTCCTTGGGGGCTCGAATGGTTCGGATATTGTATTTGTTCAAAATCCTACTGATTCGATATGTTGTTCCATTTACGTATGGAAGAATAAAGAAACTTTTTTTGTTTAACTCTTTCTGAGGTATTTGTGTGTCCGAGTTCTTGTTCTTTGTTCCGCTCTTATGTTTGCTGATTGTCCTGTCCACATTTTTCTTATTGTATCCATTCCACTGTAAGATTTGTTTCAAGTGGTTGAATTCTGTTTGTAGATATTCTTTATCAAAAATACTGAATGCTCTCTGCACAAATGAGTGTATTGCCGATTGTTTTTGTGCTGGATGGTGATGTGACTCGGCATGTAAGAATCTGTCAGTATATGTTGGCTTCTTACATACTTGATGACTCTGTCTTCTTTATAATAAGAACATTCAAGAAGGGAACCATTCTTACCATTCTTTTCTATGTCCATGGTAAATTAAATATTAGGATGTTGGTTGTTGAGGAAGTTTAAGAATTTGTGAAGTTCATTACTGTCATGTTTCTAAATTACGAAAGTGTCGTCTACATATCGGAACCAAACTTCTGATTTATCAGTCGCCTTGTAAAGGACCTTTTCCTCGAAGTGTTTCATAAAGATGTTTGCAATAACAGAAAAGATGAGAGAGTCCAACGCTGCTCCAGACGTTTGTTCGTAGAAATGGTTATTGTAGGAAAAATATGTGGTCGTTAGGCAGTTCAATTAAAGGGATGATA